CCTTCAGCACCCTGGACAGCGCCGGCGGCGCCCAGCCCGCCGCCCCGCGCGCGGCTCTGCCCGGGGTCTCCCCCAGGATGCCCGGGCACCCCTGGGGGCGCTCCCAAGAGGCACCTGTGCCAGCTGCCATGTCTCGCCGCTGCTGCCGCCCTGAAGCACGCCGCGTCCTGGTCCAGGGGCTCGGGGCTACGTGTTAAGACATGGACTTGGCCGGAGTTCTCCTGGCGTTTTTCCTCGTGCTGGTGCTCGTGGTGTCTCTGCTGTCCAACCTCCTGGTGCTGCTATGCTTCCTCTACAGCTCCGAGATCCGCAAGCAAGTGCCCGGGGTCTTCCTGGTGAACCTGTCCTTCTGCAACCTGCTCCTGACCGTGCTCAACATGCCCGTCACTTTGCTGGGGATCCTGAGGCACCAGCAGCCCCTCGGGGACTGCATCTGCAGGGCGGTGGGCTTCCTGGAAACTTTCCTCGCCTCCAACACCATGCTGAGCATGGCCGCGCTCAGCATAGACAAGTGGATTGCCGTGGTGTTCCCCTTGAGTTACACCAGCAAGATGCGGTACAAGGACGCCGTGCTCCTGATGGGCTACTCCTGGCTCCACTCCCTCACCTTCCCCTTGGTCTCCTTGTGTTACTCGTGGGTAGACTACAGCAGCGTCTACGCCTCCTGCACCTTGCACCTGCGAGAGGAGACGGAGAGGAGGAGGTTCACCGTCTTCACCATCGTCTTTCACGCCACCAGTTTCATGCTGTCGCTGGTGATACTGTGCTTCACCTATCTGAAGGTGTTGAAAGTAGCCCGGTTCCACTGCAAAAGGATAGACATTATTACAATGCAGACGCTGGTGTTGCTGGTAGATATCCACCCCAGGTAATCTACTAAGGTGTGTGTTTGTGTGTGTGCGTGCACACGCCCAGTATGTATGGCACAGTGTGTTCACTCGGTAGGTATCCACGGTAGGTAGTATACTGGCGTGTACGCTGAGCGTGCTGGTAATGTACTGGGGTATATGCTGGGAGATATTATCCTAGGTAAGACACTAGGGGTGTGTGTGGGGGGGTGCGCACACAGGCTTAATACGATCGTGCCCATATCACACTCTGCGTGTGTGTGCATGCATGTGTGTGCATGCGTGTGTGTGTCTGTGTGTGTGTATGTGCGTGCGTGTGTGTGCGTGTGTGTGTGCGCGTGTATGTGGTTCTGGACGTGCCGACGCCCGTGTCCCAACGTGTTCAGTTGCCTTTCCTCCTAGGCACGGGGAAGGAGCCCGGTGTGGAAACTTGCTCCCACCAGTTTCCCGTCTGTGTTCACAGCCCGCGGTGTCCTTGGGACATGCCGTTGCCAGCCCCCAGGCGCCGGGGTGAGCGGGTCGGTCCCTGGCGGCTCCCGGCCCCGGC